CCTTTATTGCACGTGGTTATTCTCTTATATATTACAATTTTACAGATACTCAGGAATAGTAGTTTTACAGCATGCAGTTGTCACACAATGTAACTATTGTACAGCATATGGTGTGATACGGTTGTTATGGAGATCAATACACTATACCCCCTCCCCCCAATTCCCAGTAAACAGGCCAGACCACATCACAGTAATCTCGTGAGTCGGTTCTTTAACGTCCCCTGCCAAACCAAATTAACTAATTAATAGATGCAAGAGACGGCCTCGACTTATCTACTCAAAGCAGTCTATCTTACTGTCAGTTGACTACGGAAAGCTTGTAGCACAAGTCCGTATGGATGACTTCGAATAGGAGACACACCAATAGAACCAATAGGAAATCTTGCCGGAATATAACGTACCTGTTGGCTGATCGCGGTAGAAATACTAGAAAATTGGCTGTAGCATTAGAAGTACAAGTGGTATTGATCGGATCAAATTGTAAACATTTATTTCGAGGATTTCCCACGGCACGAAGCTTGGATTTCTCCACCGTCGCTCTCAACGTTCAATAAGCCACATAAGCTCTTCGTTCTGGGAAGTTCGCGATCCTTGAAGATTCCCTTCAATTCATCTTTGACCTCTTCAAGATGATCAGAGACCTTTTTGAACTTACTCAATCGTCGGTAGCAAGCTTTACAAACTGACAACTCGCTGGTCGTTGAATAGCAGCTCACTTTTACATCCAGACAGGAACTAATAATCGCCGGAAAATCAAAAGAAATTTTTCCTTTTTTCTCAACTGAAGTGGAACAAATAAAGCAACGATCGCTTTGCAATACCTTCTTCGGCGTTTCCTCCATCAAGAAACTACAATCAAATGCAGAATTTGAAAACGCGGGAAAAACGATGTTGATTACCATTTCTTGTGTTCTGATTGGTCACATAAGAAACGATGTCAGTGATCTCATTGGTGCAAATACAACAAAGGGAAAGGAATGTTGTTCGAATGTGAGCAGCGAAGGAGCGTTGCGTGACGAGACTGAAAACGACTGCGAGGGAGACTAGATCACCTATAGCTATAGATGAATATAAAAGAGGAGCTAACTATGTCTGCTGCTAAACAGAAGGTAACGAGATGATGATGATGATGATGATGACTTTATTTAAACTCGGATGAAAATGAGGCTTGTTAGGCCGAAAGGCCAGAATAACTTCATGACAATGAAAGTTATTTTTAAAACTGTTCATTCGCTCTGCAACATGAATCACATGATACTGCTTCGCTGATGTACAAATTTGCGTTGTCAACAAAGTTATTGCCAATGCTCTGAGCTTATATATACAGGTTTAATTAATGACTTAATTGATCAGCCCCAGTTCTGGGCCCTAGCGAGAGTCATTGTTTCGAGTTCCTTTGGTCTTGGTCAGACTGTAACCCTCTGGATCCCGGCATCGTACATAGGGAGACAAAAGTAGATCAGCGATCGCATAAGTAATCGGAGAAGCCTGAGCAGTACAGACCAGTGACTTGTGTGCAATACTTTCTTTGAAATTTTTATGAAAAATTTATAAGCTGTGGTGTATAATATAAATGCGAATTTCAAAATGCGTGGAAATTTATCCTTTAAGTTTATACTAAAACAACTATTCACTTCAGTGTTGGTGGTTAGCGGTAAATATTTACCACTCCGCTTCGCGGCTTGGTTAGTATCCACCGCTAGCCATCTCCTATTCAGTAAATACCGGTAGTTATTAAGTATTATGAATGTTAGATTAACAGTTTTTTTTTCTTTATAACATAGGAGTTAAGACTGTAGGGACAGAGGAGGCTTAATTTCAATGCATATATGTACACGAGTGTAATACATTCTAAGGGTAGCTGGGGATGGGGATGTATCAAATTCTCAAAGGATGGGGCTTTATTAAGCCAGTCTTTCTGGGAAAGACCATAAAGGTAATGAAAAACAGTTTTTAGCAGGGGGGATTTAAAAGGAACTGGCTTAGAATGATGCATAGAAAAATGTGAAAATATGAGGGATAATGATGCTTACACCTTTTAAATTCTCAGAAGTGATTGACAAGTAACTTCTCCCTATAATGTCCATACAAATGTCATTATCCAGCAAGCATCTGATTAAAAACATTTAACCTCTCTGTTATAAGTTGCTATTTTGATCTAATACCACCTTTTTAGTACTAATATACAAAAACATTTTGCAGCAGCTAGAGGGGAGAAGTAACAATCAGACCTGTCGAGTTAAAGGGTTAAGCATCAGCTTTATAGCAAAGTGTTTATGGTAATTGTAGGTGTTGAAACACGGTATTTATTATAATATATCTGTCTTTGTAAGCTTGGTATTTTAGAGAAATTAAATGCTGGAGAAGTGCTTGTTGGAGATGGAGGAATGACACATGCTTTGGAGAAGCGCGGATATGTAAAAGCAGGGCCTTATACCCCAGAGTGTACAGTGGAACATCCAGATGCAGGTTGTAGTCATCTCATGAGTGTATTCCTCTTGTATTGTGCCATAGGTCTCAGCCATGGAGCCTAAAAAGATAGTGCACAATGCACATTAACTCCACAAATTTTGGGCAACTATTGATTCTAGTCCTCTAAAACCTGGGTTTTGTCCATGTTCTTTATTTTTGTCACAACAGAATTGGTTTCCTTTATTTCACAAGCTAATTGGAGTGTCAAAATCAGTGATCCCTTCCCACCAATAACTGGCAATCCACATGCATTTATTTGTCAAATGTTACTGGTTTCCAATTACAACCTTATTTTTGTGAACATGGGTTTGTAATTGAGTGTTGTTATTAAATATCAGTTTAAGTGGGGCTGAATTTTTTTTAACATAATTATAAGTAACAGTAGAGAGCATTTTCTTTTTTTGTATATAACAAAGTTATCTTGAAGTTTTGCCAGCTTTCAATCTATTGACCTTTGCTTATGTATCTAAATATATTTTATTTCATAATACTGTTTATTTTGTGTTGTATGTAACTTTTTGTCCATTAATTCTTGCTCTTAATTTACCAATGTAGAGCTCACAAGTGTAAGGGACTTGTCCTCCATTATGTGATTTAGTTGAGTAAGAGCATCACACCATTACAGGTCACAGGTTTAAAGCCTTTTGAATTAAGCTTTTTTACTTTATGCAGAAAGTGGTGAAGGAATATTTTAGGCTAATTTTGGTATTTTTGTTTTCAACTGTGGTCATCCTACAAATAAAAAAAAAAAAAACTCAAGAAACAAAAGGTTGTAAGGTAGATGGTTTATATGAAAGAATAAAAACTTGCCTAAAAAGGATATAGCAAGAGGTCATTGGAATTGATTGTCAACAGTGAGACAACTTCATCGGGAGTTTGTGAGAGCTGGAGCTGATGTTATTCAGGCATTTACCTTCTCAATGGATGATGATATGGACAGCTCTGAAGCTAAACATGGGGTGTGTAGATTGTAATTAATTTAAAGATTTATCACTTGTCACTCATATGAATTTATGATGCTCCTTGAAAAAGTTGGTTTTAAAAGGGTTTTTGTCAGATTGCCCTGTCGAGGCTCAGTTATGCAGGTGTAGTTCAAACAATAACACAAGTGAAACTTCCAACAAATGTAATAATTATATAGGTTAAGATATCCTTAAAGTATGACAAAAAAAGCATTTAGGACCTAGCTCTGAGAACTCGTGGTCTTTGTTGAAATTGACTGGTTTGTTAAGTCACATGAGTTACCGTTACATTTTTAATATTCTTCATGATTTGATCTTCTTTAAGTGCCTGGCTCTTCGTTTACCTCGAAATTATCCACTGATTCGTTTGAGTTGTTCTTTGGTTTGTTTAAATGTCCAGTGGGGGGGTTGGTGGGTCCTTTGAGAAAATAGGTCATTAAATTTTTGTCTTTGCCTGATAGGATAATCATTTTTCTCAAGCAAAGAAATAATCGAGCAAATTTGCTGAAATCCTTAATGCAAAGTATTGCATTTCAGATATAAAATTAATTTAATTGAACCTTTCACAGGAGAGAGTCATTTATTTTAGAATTCATTACCTAAACAGACATTCAAAGAACAAAAGCAAAAACAACAAATGAATATATTAAGGAAAACCACTTGAGCAGTAGTAAAACAACAAAGTTACCGTCAATCATGCCATGCACTGGTGGTTTTCTGAAAACTTTGGCACAATAGAAAATTGCAGTCAATTTGTTAAACTGAAGGCAAATTCAAATCATAGCAAGAGATAAAGAAACCACCATCCTCAAAGGACCACCCTAAATTACATACCTTTCCCAAATGAAAGCACCACCCCCAGCTTCAAACCATCCCAAAACACTTCCTCTAGATATTAGCCCCACTTGCAAGTAGGAGATGCAGTGGCCTAGTTTTTTGGCATCCTGGTCTTAGCCTCATTCAGGTGGTCAATTTGCTTGAATGTGTCCTTTAGCAAGACACTGAACTCTTAAAGAGCCGCTCTCCACCCAGGGTGATATACATGTCTGGGTGCTGGCAAAATTTAAGGGAAACATGACACTAAATGAGTATATACTCTGTAATGGAGTAGAGTTCAGTCCAGGGAGGGGTATAGATTCTCCCAGTTACTCATAGTACTAAATTCAGGATAAGCTCTTGGCTTAGAATCACCCTGAAATAGGTGCCATTCCCAAATAGAGCAAACTCCTGAAAAAACATCCCCCGTCCAATTTAACACCATCTGCAGTATAATTACCAACCTCAAATAGACACCATGGCACTCAAAACCCTTCATCTGAAAGACGGCATCTCAGGAACGATATTCAGAGAGCAGAGCCCAAACTAATAACAACTAACTACTATACTTTTTAAGTTGACAAGAAACCATAAGACACTTAAGTCCAGAAGAATTTCTCAAAGTTAATGGCTATTAATACTAACTGTAAGAGTAATGGTAACAATAGCACTGCAATTCAAAGGATACTCTTTTACTTTTTGAACACTTGGATTCTTTTTAGGCCATAAAAATAAACCAGGCAGCATGTGAGCTCGCCAAAAGCGTCGCTCAGGAGGCAGGGGTATTTTTCGCGGGATCTATCTGTCAGACAGCTTCTCTATATTCCCAAGGGGCTGGAAAAGAAACTGTAACAAAGAAGTTTAGAGAGCAAATTGGTATTTTTATCCGGAACGATGTTGATCTAATCATAGCCGAGGTAATATTATTTTTTTGAAATGTACTTGTTTGAGTTAATGCACAATGAAGCTGAACATTATTGTTATTTGTTGTTAATGTAAGTGTTTTGATAACAGATTTTTAAAGCGTTTTAGTCTTGCACCTAGTGGTTAAATTGAAGGTAAATCAGTTGAACTGAGTGAAGGAACTTTTTATATCAGACGGAAGGGCACCTTCGCTGAGGAGTAAAATATGACTCTCGCTCTTTTTGCCAACCCCCACCCCTCGGAGTGTTACTAAAAGGTTATGTAAACACGGAAAAAGTCCCGATTACTTTTATTAGGTGTTCTACCGAGATACTTGCGACCCACTGCATGATACTCACAGGAAAGAAAATATTTTAAAAATCGAAGCCTTGAAACGAATTGCATCTCAGAAACTCTTGTCTCAGGGGCGTTGCTTGGTCGAATGTCTTTCCTACAGTTTTTTGCGAACGTAGAAGAGGCTGAGTGGGCAGTGGAAGTGATGAAATCCACAGGGAAACCAACAGCAGTAACCTTATGTATTGGACCTGATGGTGACAGTAATGATGTTCCTGCAGGAGAATGTGCTGTTAGACTAGCGAGGGCAGGTACAGGAAGCCAAATATAAAGATCGAATAAGGAGACGAGGCTAGGGTATTATCATTTACCACCCGTGGGAAACTTTTCCACGCAAATCATCGTTGTTTCCCTTTGGTTTGTTCTTGTCTCTGCGATTTTCGATTGCCATGGCAACTCATTACTTAAGTTAGAAGTTTCTTTTAGATTAACGACAACGATTAGAGCTGGAGTTGCTTTGAAATTAGTTGATAGAGCTCCCTTCAATACTGTTTCAAAGGCGGTCCCAGAATTTTCTCTCTCTCTCTTTCTTGGTTTACGACAAAAATAAAACTAGGAAAATGAAGAAATGTTTAAGAGATAATCATAACATAAGAAAGCAATAGGTTAGAGAAGAGTCAAGGAGCAAGTGCTTCTATAATATTTTGACCTCAGAGAGTTCATGTAAATACACTACTCAAACATTTGGCATTGTGACTTTAGGGGCTGATATAATTGGAATCAACTGTCGTTTTGATTCAAACATCACTTTAATGGCCATTGGTTTAATGAAAGACGCGTTTGGTAAAGAAGGCCTCAAGCCCCATCTAATGGCTCAACCAGCTGGTTACCATACCCCTGATGCTGACCGTATGGGATGCCCTCATCTGCCAGAGTCGCCGTTTGGTGAGTAGTAAGCGTGCTCCAAAATCTAGGTTTTTAGTCTTACACTGAACATTTTGGCCTTTTTTAATTTGGTGACTGCTCGTTAACGGATAAAAAAGTTATTTTGAAGTACTTTTCATAACTTGAAGGTTTGAGGTGTTTTGACTTGAAACAGCGACAAATCAAATAGTTTAGAAAAGATGCACGGGTTCTTTGTGTCAAATTTTGGTCAGGGAGGTATTTTGATACGGACATTTAAGCCTAACTCTTTTTTTGACTCACCTTTGGGGTTTTAGTGACCTTAAATCTTTTCTTCATAAACATGGTGATGACTTACATTTGTTTTCACGGAAGATAGATTTCATCCTTCGTTATCTCGAAATGCGATGACATGGAACCGCTAACTAACTTGGAGTGCTTTTCAGCTTTAGAGTCTCGATTCGTAACTCGCTGGGATGTACACAAGTACGCTCGGCGGGCCTATGACATGGGAGTGAGGTTCATTGGTGGCTGTTGTGGCTTTGAGCCATATCATATCCGGGCCATTGCAGAAGAGGTAGGAAAAATACCCAATTTGAAGAAATTATTCAAAAGAGTGTTTAGTAACGTATCTCGCGTAGAGTCCTGAACGTGAGGGAGGAACCCTAAACAGCGGCTGCTAAAAGATCAAATTGATTGAAATTGTCATGAACTTCGACTACTCTTAGCCAAGCTACGAAAAAGGAACTCGAAGAATATGATTGGCAGTGGTTCAAGAATTTTCGATTAGCACAATGAGTTGACTTGATCAGACCTTGAGGCTTGACAGAACGTTAACCTCCGCTTGACAACGTGCCATTCTAGTTATCCGAGGTTCTCTTTAAGGGAATCTCGCCGGCACGCCATTCCATGAATCAGTACTGTTATGAAGAAAAAAACATCCTTCCACCCTAAAATTCTTATATGAGGAGCATTAGCGATAATTTCAGCGACAATTTATCCAAGAGTGCGTGTTCTCTTTCTTTTTTGTTTTTTTTTTTTTGTTTTAGCTTGCTCATGAAAGAGGCAAGTTACCTGCTGCAAGTGAAAAGCACAGTCCTTGGGGAGAAGCTCTTAAACGCCATTCACAACCAGAAGTTCGTGCAAGGTAGTTGCCTGGGATTGGAGACGGGGTTGGGTTAGGAAGAGGGAAGTTTATTTTTCTTGGGAAACCTAGTGTTAAGCTGCTTTGGTGTACGGGTGCAACAATGAGCGGATTATCGTCATGAATTAAATAAAGGTAGATACCTCACCTTAGCGACTTTTGACGTAAACACCACCCTTTCATCCAAGCAAAGTGGAGTTCTTTGTGTTTGTTTTGAAGTATAAAGTTAGAGGGTATGCTATTGAAGTAAGCAGGTTACGGATTATGCGCTTTAATTTTATATTTTCATTAATTAGTATCTCTCTTTTATTAATTTTTCTTGTCGTTTTGAAATCTTTCATACTCTAGAGCCAGTCGAGCTTACTGGGAGAATCTAAAACCAGCCAGCGGTCGGCCGAATTGCCCGGCATTGAGTGGACCTGGAAGACTGGGTTTATTTCAATGAAAATGCTTGGTTAATGATCATAACGTTACCTTGTTTTGTAGTTAACCATGAGAGTGCGTGTTTCGCTTCATTAGAAGACATTTATGGTCGTCTCTTTGTGGGGATTGTTCATTATTTAAGACAGGGTAAAGGGCGAATTTATGGTAAATATTCAATGCTTGGTTATTATTTTTTTAAAAGAAGTTAATCATCCAGATTAATAGTTGCTGTACCGTTTTTGCTCAGACGTCTGTAACACGATTAAAACACCTTTTGATTGTAACTGCAGTTCACCAACTTGAAAGAGGAGAGAAAGGTAAAACTGCCCGTCATGACGAATTAACAGCCGGTTTCTTAAGTGTACTAAGAAGCGTACAGCTGTCGGTGCCGCCACAGGTAGCCCACCTTGGGCTACCTGTGGTACCGCGTGAGGAGAGGGCTGAGCAAAATATGGCGATCAGCAAGCCTCTTAGATCACCAGCCACAAGTACATTTCTTTGTATAAATAATCGTGTTTTCAACTCTACCACATGACGTAATAACAAACCAACGAGAAAGTGATTATAAAACACATAATGATTACATTATAGAACTGCAGACTACAAGTATACTACAAAGTACTTAAACGACAAATTGGTTGCTTCTCTTAAAAACTGTCTTTAGCTGTAAAGTATTCAGGTATATTTTAAGCTAACTACCAGAATTAATATGCTAATTATAAGCTAAACAGTCTTGTTCTTTGACTTGATTACCCATGATATCCTACGGCATCTGCAAAATAAAAATCGCGAAAAGTATACTTTGTAAGATTGCTGCAAGCATCCGAGGAGTGTTCGAAGCAAACAGTTGCAAAGCTAAATGTAAATGGGGAGACGGCCAGTTGGAACACGAGTTTCACGTGATGAAATTGTCAATAGTTTTTTGAGAGGGGTCTTTAGGAAGTTTGAATTTAGAACTATAAGCTTTCTGTGACTGGCTGTGAAGAACCTGTTCGTAATGCGACAGTCAGTAAACAGCTCAGATTTCATGTTCAGCGAGGGACTTATTTACATTCGCGTTCTATGCAAAGAACGAGGGTTGTTGGAGAAAGTTTTGTTCTTTTGGCTTGGATAAAAGATAAATATCAGGTAAAACAAATGAAGCCTTCTGTTTTTTGTTTGTAAAGTAGACGTTCTTAGTGGCTGACGTATGCAAACAAACTATCCGATCGTATACAAAGGAACTGAAATCGCACTTTGTAGTTAGTCATTATTGACTATCTATTGAGCACAGACAAACAAACAACTTTAAAACAAATATTTTCCTTTATCTTGTTTTTTCTTTTGATGATGTTTCCTAGATTACCTCGCGTGTGAGCAGACAAAAACCTCGTAAAATGGGCGTTTCACGACCAAGAAGGATAAAAAAAGAGTCTTCACGGTGACTAGAAAAATACCAAAACTAGAACAAATCTTCGAGAGAGGCCTAATATTAAACTTGTTATTTATCTATTTTTGGTAGAAAATAAATTCACTCCATTTCAACACTTAACTAGTGCAACAGTAATTCACCAGATCACTGCTCGTGTGCGATTATTTTTTCTCTTTTCTTTACCACATTTTGACTTCTGTGATCTTTAACGCAGGTGCATGTTAAAATAGAATCTGCCGATTGAGTGTATGTTACCACGCACTTTTTCTTTTTCATTTTAAATACTTGATCCAAGTATTCTTGTAAGGAAAGAATTACTAAGCCTCAGGTTTGGCTCTTCGTTAAATATTTGCTCTACAACTGTTTAATAGTAGAATTTAATCCAAATTTACCCTTTTCAATTGAGTTTTAGCTTATACTGAGACTTTGTTCGAAGAGTAGCAAGGAAAACCCAAATGCCCTGTTTCTTACCTTGGTCATCCGATGTTCTCATTCTCTATAGAACTCTGGCAGTACTTTTGTTCCGGGCCTCCAGTTGTCTCTTCGATGAAATTTTCTCTTGTTTTCTACTAAGTTCATTTTTCTCCGGTTTTTAAACAATTCTCCAAGGTCGTGCTCCAAGGGTACAATTTCTTTTTTTCCCACCCTCAAATGGCATGATGTCTCACTTGTTAGAAAAGCGAAAACAGCTAGAAAAACCAGAAATGCAGCGTTTATCTTTGTAGAAGCCATTAATTCTCAGCAGACCTTAAAGTGAGAAAAAAAGGAAATCAGACTTTGATTTCTTAAATAAGAAATAATATTTCTCCAACGTTTACCTCGACTATACACCTTGTCTCCTTGTGCTTCTTCCGATTTTTAAAGGAATAAAGTCAGTTAGCGGCGTCAGTATGTCTCACTTCCTCCGAGTGGAACTCACGGATTTTTATATGTTGACCGGAAAGTGCTTCTTTGATTTTTGGAGGCCGATTTTTGCTCAAGCAGCTTTGATCTCATTGTTTGTGGTCGTTCTTTCCTTTCAGACAGCTGGGCGGCGAGAATTTTTGCGTTTGTAGATGGAAGTAACTTTGTTGAAGGAAATGCGTATTTTTATTGAAAGATTGCTGTCTTAGAATTTTAAAGTTTTGTTGTGTTTGCTTTTTTTTACTTTGTTTATGTTTTTGAGATGAATAAAACTGGAAAGCTCACCTTTTTCCTTAACTCCAATGATGATTCCTGAAAGCTCAGAGTTCGGTTTGAATTGACGAATTTCTTTGCGGAAATACAACCAAAACTGAAAACGTAAAAGTTAATGTGTAAGCTAATGCAACCGTTATAATTATAACATTAGTGTCAAAGAAAATGGGATGTACGACTGCGATTTTTGTTATCGTCAAATGTTCAAGCTTCTACAAACTTTTTATCGATTCACGTTGCTTTATTGCTCTCAACATTAATTTTACACACCAGCCCTATTCTATCTAAACTGCCCACTAAAGTAAAGTATTTTTCTATCTTGTGGATTTGCTATCAACTCTTTTAACTGTGCTATTTAGTTAAACAACATAAACGTTTTAAATTTACTGTTTTATGCTCATCATTTATTGTCAAATTTTGTTTGGATAGCAAAAAACGGATATTAAGTAATGAAACATTTCTCAAAGCTCTCATTTAAAAACTACATTGGTGTACATCTTGCATGAAAATTATGAAGTAAAACTCAAACTAAGACGTGAAACAAGAGAGCGAAACGGTACGTAATTTAAAAAACGGTGCTTGAAAAAGCAAAGCAAGAGTATCGCTTAGATTTTGTAGCATTTTTCCATTGGAAAAACTGTTTACGAAAGAGTAGATTCACAACTAACAATCCTTCCTGCATTCTATACTATATCTTATCAGTTAAGGATAGGAAAGGAAACCTTTGTGATTTTTTTACAATTACAATCTCGAGACTAAAATAAATTTAACTATGACACAATTTTTAAGTTTTGTATTTAAATGTTTTTTCTTTCTTTCTTTCTTTCTTTCTTTGTTGTTGTTTTTTTTTTTTTTGGAAAAAAAAGATATTCTTTGTCATTGTGTATTATTTTCTAAGAGTTTCCGATATATTTTGTTAATGGATAGACGAGGCAATTGCTTGTAATGATAACTGATTGAAAGCTCGCTACCGTTTAGGAAATGAATTAACTCTGTGTTTACTTCGAGCACGTGTCATTTTTAATTTCCTGGGAAGTAAAAACCGGAATATTCAAGGTTTTATTGACTGTTGGCTATGGAGCTATACCGCCTTTAATTAGAAACATAAATGTCGCTGTGTATATAGGTAAATACGTAAGAACACTTCAATTGAGTGTTACTGTCACGCGGTAAAAATAGTCCATTAAAGTCCTGGAGAAGATCTATTCCCTTTATCATGATAGTCAATATAAGATACTAGCTCAGTCTAACCATAAGAAATATCTTTTATTCATTACGACTTATTGTTTATTTTTCTTAGCCATATAGTTCTTTTTCTTTTTTTCGTTTTAATTATTTGTCGAGAAAAGGGCATTAGGATCCGACAGAAAGTTCAGTTTGATTTACACAAACAATTAAGTCGGTTTTTTTTCGATGTGCCCACTGCTAATTTTCGCGTGCCAATCTATTCAGAATCTTATGCATCACAAGTTGACATATAGATCAGCCTAAATTATAGATGACTTTTCTCTCGATTTTGTCGAGATGAATGAGGGACGTATGATGCACGATCCTCGCAGTAGATAGCGCTATTTAAGCAATAGCGAAAATCAGACCTGAAAAAAATCAGGCCTGTACGGGA